GGAAACGACGTTGCACCCTCCTCTCGCAACACCTCGCAACAACATTGGTCTTTATGGAAGAAATGTGACGTGTACCATCATCCGTGGACCATATTAACGTTTTTTTTTTCTGGTCTTATCCAGTTTTGCACCTTACCGGGGAAAAGAAAGAGAAGAAAACTTTGTTTGCCCAACCCCGATCCCCAGACTCGACCGAGGGTACCTAATACACCATTCCGAACCTGCCTTCCCGAACAACGTTGTAATGGCGACCTGGGCATACCCCCCACTGCCCACAGAGCAGATCAACCGTGAGGCGGACACTGCGCTGGTATGTAAAACATATATGGGCCCCTTATAGCAGATGATCTCTCTACACAGAGATCTGGTGGGCTGTAGCTATGATCCTTGAATCCTTGATCATTGGAGTGTGGAGCTTCTCTAGTATAATGCCAACATTTTCATCTTAGGCCCGAGAGCTAGAGTGGCTCTTGCATTCGTTGCAAGATACACTTGCCTCATTGAAGGAAGGTCTCCAAGAATGCGCTGCCCTCCTAGCTCCCCAAGAACCGGGATCAACCTTAGTACTGTCCTCGCTACGGTCGGAAAGTGTGAAGGGCTTCGTGACTAGAGTCGGCACCAAGGTTGTGAAAGGCGTATGTATTCCGAGTATTTTCCGAAGACCAATTGAATATGCAACTAACCCAATCCCTCTCTAGGATGTTCAACTTCGTCTTGCATCGCTCCCACCTCCTCGAGGTGCCCCTAGCACCCGACTAAACCTATCTCAGTCCCCCGAAGCTCCGGAACTGGTTCTTCCACAACTGGTGTCGGTTCGAGATCTCGTGGCTCAGAGTCTGGATATTGTGGATGTGAGCACATGGACAGGTGATCCTCTCAACGCAGGCTTCATTTTCAGTCAACTACACCTCTTGCTCGAGACGATCAGTGAGGCGCGACAAATGCTAAAAGGAGAAGGTGATGAGACGCGAGGCAAGTGGTGGGATACCTCTGCCACCGAAAACGTATGTTCGATTTCTTTGACACAAGTCCTGTAATATTTTGCTGATATATATGCTGCACCAGATGTTTGACCCTCCGCTTCCGCCACATCTTTCATTCCACCTCTCTATCACAGACTCCGCCCTAGTTCTTCTTCTTCGAACTCTGGAGTCTACTGCCCTTAATCACACACCAACCGCTTTTTCCTCGGATATCTCTCTGACCGGGTTTTCTATACGAGATCGGATATTCGGCTCGCGAGCGCCAAACCATGATGAGGCCGGTAGCCTTTTTCAATGGCATGGAGAGGAAGTGCGTGTCAAGGAGAAGGTCCGAGTGGAGAGTCAAGATCCCAGTCTGATGGCAGTCATGGCGAAACTATCGGCCCTTGAGCATGAGGTGATGCGTTGTGTTGCCGCGCTGCGGGTGCTCATGGGCGAGGAAGATACGGAGAGCGAAGCTTAATGACTTGATTGATACCCTGCTACTGTATTTGAATTATGAACAGCTGCTTATTGCAATACTTGATGTGGTTGGGTACTCGGAGTAGGGCCTTTAGAAGTAGTATTGAATGGGTTGTCATTTGAGATAGGTATTGATCGGCCATCTTGAAGCTACCTAGAGCTAGAACTTTGTCAAACGGGTGTACAATATATAATATAACAAAAGCAATTAGCACCCATTCTACAATCTACAATCTATACATCCATGGACATCCATGGATGTTAGTATAAGATCTTTGACACCGAGCTAAAACCGACCCAAGGGAACAACGAGGAACCAGCCAATCAGAGGCCCACAGTTTGTGATGGGCGCATGGTTGTCTTGGCATCAATTTTCTGGGCTCGGCCATTTTTCTTTCTCTCTCAACTTCTCGAAAGGGACTGTCGACAAGATCTGGAAAAAATGTTGTCCAGGTCCTCAGCATCAGGCGCGAGGCGGTCACAATCACGCGAACTATTTCGCACCTTTGCCTGCCCATCTGGATCGCGACAGCTCCGCGGACATGCCAACCATTTGACACCTACACAGCAACGCAGTCTTGTGCAAAAAGCCTCGCCTTTGGTCGCGTCCAGCGGCCTTGCACACCGAAGAAACACATCCGAATATGCGGCGTCACAATGTCACCCTCAGCGGAGGTTCGTCTCAGGCCCAGCAACCGCCGACTCGCCACCTCAACCCAGCCAATCCATCGAACCGGATGATATCAATACCCTGATTGATCGAATCGGGGAAAATGAGGCGGAAATGGTACAAATGCTTGCAGAGCTGGAAATTATGGGTGAGGAGGGCGAAGCAGACGAGCTCACCGACCTGATCCGCCAGCGAGACCAACACACTGCAGATTCATGGGTACACAAGATTAAACAGCGCTTTGGAGATGAGGTGCCAGAAGGGTTGTTGGATGATGCCGAGCTTCAAATATACGCCCGCCTTTATGGAGAACCGATCATTCGGCAGGAAGTTGAGTCAATCGTTGAGAAAGAGGAAGATCTGAGCTTGCTCCGCGAAGATGGACAGGGAGGATGGGAGGAAGTCGATCTAGACGGAAGCGCCGCAGAGGAAGATGCTCCACTCGTCTATGATATGGATGTTTCCCCGGAAGAGCGGGAAACAATTGCCATGCAACGGACCAGAGAAGTGGCAGAGCAGTTGGGCGGCGAACTTATGCTCGAAGAATTCGAGAACGAGGCAGTTCCCGACTCTGCTCCAAGAATGCATCCGCTCACTCTCGAAGGCAAATTCGGAACTGATCCTACAACTATCCATCTGCCCAAGGACACTCTGACTGGTCCCATATCGGTCATTCTGTCGGAATTCTCCAACAAGCACATTTCCGAGACTGCTCGGCGCCTGTTTGGAGGGCCAGGATTGCCCCATTCGAGTACAACGGCGCCTCCCCGTGCCCAGTTACCCCAGCTTCCTGTCGCTCTTCAGGCTTCCCAGCGTCAAATGGGAGAAATGGAGGCCAACGCATACTTGGCAGCCTTGTACCCTGGAATCTACGCATCGACACTTAGTGTTATGGTTGAGATTCGCAAGCGATTGGGTGTCGATTGGATCCGCCGCCTTATCGCACAAGAGGGTGGGCCAAACGTTCTCGATGCCAGCGGTGGTGGTGCTGGCATCCTGGCCTGGAGAGATATCATCCGCGCAGAATGGGAGCTCATGGTGCCAGACCATCCCGCGGGAGCCCCCATCCCATTTGGAAGATCAACTGTGCTGACAGGCTCCGATGCCCTTCGTATGCGCGCTGCTATCATGCTGGACAACACTACCTTCCTCCCACGACTACCTGATTATGTCCATGTGCGCGAGAAGCCTACAATTGATGACTCGCGGAATGCCCCTAAGCGCAAGCAGTACGATGTGATCATCGCACCGCACTCCCTTCTCGGTCTTGAAGAAGAATATGAGCGTAAACAGCACGTGGAGAACCTGTGGTCTCTTTTGAACCCCAACGGGGGTATTCTCATTCTCCTCGAGAAGGGCCGCCAGAAGGGATTCGAGGCTATCTCTGGAGCCCGTGAGATGCTCTTGAAGCGCCATATCGCAAGCCCCGGCTCTACCGAATACGACAACTTCCTCGAAGACCCCGACCAACGCGAGGTCATTGAGAAGGAGCGTGGAATGATCGTCGCCCCCTGCACTAACCACTCAACCTGCCCAATGCACAATTCTTCAGGTGCTACAAAGGGCCGTAGGGACTACTGTCATTTCGAGCAGCGATACATTCGCCCTCCATTCCTGCAGCGCATCATGGGAGCGAAAGACCGTAACCACGAAGATCTCAAATTCAGCTACCTCGCCGTGCAGCGCGGCGTAGACCTACGACAAGAGCAAGCAATTCGCCAAGGTCCTGAGGCTACAGATGCCGCGTTCGAAGGATTCGAGGACCCCGAGGAGTCTGATATCCCCAACAAGACAGCCTTCAACACTCTAAACCTCCCCCGTGCCGTTTACCCACCCATGAAACGCCGCGGCCATGTGATCTTCGATCTCTGCACACCGGCCGGCAAAATCGAGCGCTGGACCGTTCCCCGCTCCTACAGCCGACAGGCCTACCGCGACGCCCGCAAATCTCATTGGGGAGATCTGTGGGCTCTGGGAGCCAAAACCCGCGTTCCGCGCAACCTGAACCTTGGCGATAAGCATGGCGAGGGTAAGAAGGAGCGCCTGGCTCGCCGTGCGGCGACCAAGGATTCTATGCGTGACGCCGAGGAAGAGGGTGAATTTGAGAATGAAGGAGAAGAGGAAGATGAAGAATATGCGATTCATGACTCGGATATTCCTGATGTCCCTGTCAAGAAGAGGGGCCAGCATATCCCCAGTTGGAAAAAGCATAATGATAAAAGAAGGTTCGTCAGGCTTCCAACAAGCGTTCTGCCGACGAATAAGTGGCTTTGGTTTGGCGCAATTCTTTTGTGAATTTGGAGGTTCGAAAACATGTACTATACTACTAACTGGCAGCATTTGGCATTGGGATTGGGGACTGGATCTTGTTTGTACACTAGGATATTATTCTCGCACTTCTACAGATGTAAATATAGCATCCTCACTCTAATCAATGTTTGATACGTATTTGTTTTATTGATCCAGTATCGGAAGCGCCATTTAGCCTGAGTAAATCCTCTTTTCTCCATTTAGATAGTCCTGATGGAGGCCATTGGGGGTCCCATGAAGTCCGCTGTGATGAAGCCTAGTCTTGCCACGACCTAGGGGGACTGTGTCAGGCCAAAGAAGCGTTGGTGGTCATCGGAGACCTTTCCTGGGTGGAACCGTGCAATTAACACAGGGTGTTTAAGAATGCACCGGGCGTGGGAGGCATTGATGCTCTGGGGAGATAGTCGCTGGCTTTAGGCTTGGTGTTTTTCTAGTCAGAATTGGCGAAGCACACATAGTCAAGAACGACGTGAGTAGAGATCAGACAAAACTCCCGTTAGAACCAAAGCTCCTAACAGGCTAGTCGTTTCTCGTAATAGCAGGTATTCTTATCTTGCAAAGTGACACCGCTACACTCACTGCGCAGCCATACTCTTTCGCAACTGCCTTTGCTTCTGGGTACTTTGCAACTCCAATCGATCAACCGCGAACTTGAGTCGTTCTTTCTTCTGGACGAGTCTCCTCAGCTCTGCTGCCTTGGATGCTGCTGCATTGCCCGACGAGGCAGCGCCTGACCCCGCCAAATGACCCCGCAATGAGCTGCCTTGAGGCTGGCTCCGAGTAGCTGATGACCGGCCCTCAGGCGTGGAAGAGAGTCGACCTTCTTGCAGGTCGCATTTCGCCTTGAGGCCTTGTTCGCGGCGCGCGAGCTTTTCAACGTGGTTCGATGACAGTGTGAGGAGGTGGGCGATGCTGGGGGTGATTTCGTCAAGGAGGGGATTGCTGCGCTTCGCGCAATGTAGGCTCAGGGAGGAGCTCAAAATGCTATTCAAAAATACATGGTTAGATCCATAGTTTCTCGTTTCTTCTCTGGAATGGAAGTTGGGAAGAACATACTCGCGTTGTTTGGAGGACTTTACATAGACGAGGGAAATCGTTTACGCCCGCATCGAGGGTGGATATAGAGCTGTCCAAAATCTGGAGAGAGGACTGTAGTGAGGTAACCGAAGAAGACAATGAAGCTGCCATAGTGTGGGATTTGAAGCTTTGATTTGGAGATGATTGTTTACAATGGTCGGGATAGATCGGGCTGTAAAAGCGGCATGACACCGCCTTTAAGGCGGCGTGGCCTCGGGACCGGGCAAACCTCCCAAACCTCACTTCTCCTCTTCCGTCCTCCTGCCTCACCATCCTCCCGAACGCCGAATTCTCTCCGCATTCGATTCACCTGTCACAATGTCTCTCCTCGGAAAGAAGTTCCCCGGCGCTATGGGTACGTGTTTTTTGAACCTCGATTACGACCTGTGGAGAATGATATGAGGACCAACGACTGACGCATATGTTCACTTACAGCCAAGCCTATGACTCCCTTCTTCGCTGCCGGTACGCATACCCTTTAAATCCCGAAATGTCCTGACAATCCAGAACGCATGGATTGCCAGCTCGGAATACCGCACCCTCCGAGCGGTTGTTGATGGAACATTACTCTGACGATTCTCCTCTCCAGGCCTCATTGTGCTCTACGGTGTCAACTCTCTCCAGAACGCTCTGTCCAACAGTGAGTCCTCTCCGCGCAGCTACACATAAATCATCGACGAGTTTCGGGGTCATATGCGACACTATCCCCAACACGACATTCCGATGAGCGTTTGCGAGCATAAACAACTAACCTTCATATCCGTACAGCCGCTCAGTTCCAGAACGACCCCCGTAACCCCAACGCTAAGCCCGCTGGCAAGGCTGACCACTAAATTGGGTCGACGATGAATGCATTTTGAGGTCCCATCCGCTCGTTGAAGAGGAGCGGGACGAACCGCCGCGATGTGTGGGTGGACGGAGATGGCCCAGGTCATCAATGGCCGGCTTGCATTTTCTGTGATTACTCTGCGGGCAGTTTGCCCCTGTCCAAGCATATAGAGTGTACCCACCTCGATGGGTGACTTGGTTCAATTCACAAGCTGTACCAGTACCATTCTGAGCAAGGCGCTTTTTCCCTCTCGTAGTGTCCCTTCTGCTGGATGATATTGCATCAGTCAGAGCAAGGAAAGTAACTTGAGCCGAGTATTCCGGAGCTTGTTGTATTATAGGTAAAGCTATATGGTTTGTGGACTGTATACTTCACATCCGCTTATTGCTACACTATTTCACCTAGGGCCAGACTTCTACGTCTTTGCGACCGTGCAATAAGTCAAAATTAGCCTTTGCTTTCAATGCTATGTCATTTAAATTTGATTGTAACAGCTATCCATCAAAATACCAGCAGTAGGGCTTTAGTGCCGCTCAGCGTGAAATCTTGCATCCAACACGCTAAACCCGATCGGGCAGCCAGTTTTCACCAACTCCGCCTGGCCGAAGGACAATCATTTTCCGACCTCAACTCCGCAATCACCCCCGATTAAACACGCCAAAATGACCAAAATGGCAGGCCTTTTCCGGCCCAAGAAGCTTGATCTTTCTGGATTTGTCAATACCCGCTTGATTCGGGACAACAACAAGCGCATGGCCTTCGAGCAGACTGAGCCCGAGCGGTACGAACCCTGTCCTTCTCTTAGATGTTCTAGCTTGACCGAGGACGGATATCCCGAGCTGGGAAAACCTGGCAATTGAGACGCAAAATGCTGACTCTGTCTTCCTTCGCAGACAAGCTCTCCGCTACATGATCCGCAACACCTCTCTTTCTGGCCGTGTCCGCGCACAGGCTCAGCTCCAATTGTCGCAGATGCACGCCTATACTCGCCCCACGCAGATCAAGAACCGCTGTGTGGCATCAGGCACCGCTCGCAGTGTCTTCCGCGACTTCAGAATCAACAGAGTGAGTCAAAAACCCCGGCCAATGGCCGCATCTTGCCCGAGGCTTTTGATGTCATATCGCTAACACACTGTCTTCTTCTGCAGTACCAATTCCGTATGCAGGCTCTGGCTGGTGAACTCCCTGGTGTGAGGAAGGCCAGTTGGTAATCGTATCGGTGCTCTGTAATATATGGACACATCTGGTTGAATTGTTTGCACGATGGCGTTTTCTTCTTTGCTTCCATTGGGTGGAGGCATGTACAGTATGCAATTCTCATTTGTGGAGAAATCAAATCTTTCTTTGTCGTTTTAGTTCCTCCGACCAAACTCCACTGCTCTCAGTGTGTTCGTATTGACTGTCCTGGCATCGCTTTGGGCCTGATCCTTGTTTGCTGATGTCGTGAGATCAGGCTTTCTTTGTTTGGTGTTGAGATCCTTTCAATTGGGTTGTTTGCTTCCTTCCATCATGACGATCAGTTGCAGATCAGCCTGGCCATTCTGATTGATACTTGACCGGTAATCTCATCATATCAGCTCAGCGGCGTCTCTCAAGAAGATTTCAGTTATAGATCTTCAATACCAGTAGCAAGTCAGGGTCACATCATCGTCGATCATTGAGCATATGGCCAGCTTGTCGATGTTTGCCATAACTACATCGTCGCTGACTGTTGCCCCGTCGCATTGAAGAACCGCGGTGCCTTCCAGTGTTGCTTGTGTGATACTCCCCTCTTCCTTTCTCTCCTCTTTCTTCTTCCTCTTCCATTTATCCATCACTCATCTTCCCCTCCTGTCCCTTTGACTTTCTTCTTAAATCAATATCACACGTTGATTTGAAGCCTCGCCACAATGAACGACGTTCAAGCAGACTTCCTCCCCGATGACATCGTCTGCCCAGAAGACCTGCTGGGGCTTGGGTGAGTTTTCCCGTAGTTTTCAACGTGACATCTCAGCCTTGTGGTCTAACAGTATATGGAATGACACAGGTTCGTCATCACCAAAGATGACAAGATCCGGTACATCGCCGCCCCGGACCAGGGCCCTCGCTACAAGATCAACCGAAGTGACCGCATGAACAAGGTCCATATCGAGGCCCTCCATAGTTAGTTAATCCTCAGATCCATCCCCATCGTAGGCGATGGGTTTCCTGAATCATTTGGTGCTAACCACTTCACAGAGGCGATCCGTACCTGCATCATCGACCGGCTCCTAGGAATGGGAATGCATTTCATGAAAATTCCCAAGGGTAGCTCACGACAGGCCCCCATCATGGTGTCGGGCAACATCACCACTGCACGTCGAGTTGTTGTTTTCTTCGGCGAGACCATTGAAGACCTGGGCGTCTTCTCGTACCGTGACGCTTGTGACGATGGCATTTCTTTCGGTTCGATCGTGGGCTTTGCAAAGGGTCTGCTCGGTGAGAATGCTCAGGATTCACCCAATGCTCTCATCCTTGCGAACACTGGCCAGACCGTCTGGTACAATTCAGGTTGTTCCGCCATGACTGCCGACAGTTTCCATGGTCAACACCGCGGCTCTGCTGTGGAACGCAAACGTCCACTGGATGCTTCTCGTAATTTGATCGGCAACGGCTCCATCGGTGAGCATGTCGAGAATATCTTCCATCAAGTCTTGATGCGTGGTCATTTCCGAGTCGGCGCCATGATCGACATAATTGGCATGTCTGAGGGCGGCCATGCTGCCATGACTTACCTGAAGAAAAATTGTGAGTATCTGATTGCATAACATAGTTAAGGATTGCTTACTGACATGGCCCCTAGGGAGTTTCTGGTCGCCCCACATTTCCTCCCTCTCCCTGATCAACCCTGAGACGATTGATAGCACGAAGAACAAGACTGATGACGTGAAGGACCCGGATACATTCGCCTGGTTCATGAAACACCGTTGTCGTGCCTGGGCCCTCTGTAGTAAGCCGATCGGCACACTTCTGCCTGGCCTTGAAGACCTTCATGGTTGCCACACGTACTCTTCCGGCGAAAGCACAAAGTCGACTTGCATGATCACTCGTGGTGTGGGACACATCTTGACCTGGATGAACATTATGCATTACTCTCCAATGGCGGTGGAGAAGTTTGATGCGGTCCCTGGCGAGGACGATCCCAGCGACGAAGCTCTTCTCGCGTCATTGCTCGACGACGTAGTTCCGGAAATCCCTGGCGGCAAGATTGAAGTTCACAGCCTGGAAGTCATGAACCAGATTAAAGACTTCCTGACGGGTGTCACGTTCACCAAGGAAATGGTTACCTTTTTTAATGACAAGTTGTCGTTTGTTGACACTGATGACAACGAAAGCGACGGTGACGGCGAGGGTTCCGCCGCTTATACGGTTGAGAACAACGATGCGTCTGATGCTCTTCCTGATGTTCCGGAAGCTTCTCCTGACACTTCTCGTGACGGTCTCCCCGTTCCTGGTGTGCTTCCGGGCACTTCTTTTGAGCCCTCTGCTAAGCCCTCTTCTAAGCCCTTTCCTAAGCTTTCTCCTGCGGCTTCTCTTGAAGCATCTCCTGGCGTTCTTCCTAACGTTCCGGCCGAAGCTCTTTCCGTTCCGGAAACCCCGACGCACTACGACGACGTAATTGTCGGCAAGACTGGCCCGTTCAACCTCAGTGATCTACAAGATATCCGAGAGGACGAGCAAGAAGATGAAACCCTCTAGGTGGCCCCTGCTTCCTTATAAGGCGGCGCTGTGGGTTGGGTTTGTCTAGGGGGTGGGTTGTCTCTGGAGTTTGTTTCCCGATGAAAACACCGGATGAGATTGCTTTTTATTTTATTTTCTTGAGGTTTTCTCGCGCCCAGATGGCTGTTCTTTCCTCCTATTTTAGATGAAAATCATAGAAAAATCATAGAAAAAAAAAAGGGAGGAAACCACGTAGGTACTACCATCTGCTGAGATAGCGAATGATTGAAACTTCTTATACTAATCTCCCTGAGAACTTTTATTGTATACGAGGTAGTTAGGTACATATTTATAGTTATGTAGTCAGGTATGTATCTTTGGGGTATCACGAAGGCACCAAGATCATAACCCTGACCGGCCTACAGCATATCAGATTAAATATCTCCCTTGACATATTTGAAATTTCTCTTTAACAAACATCGGAACGTCACATTAAGCATCTGCCAGGTGGATTATACTCCTGATTCACGGGCCAGTGATACAATGGCGAAATTCCAGAGATTCCCCAAGGATCAAACCTGTTCTCGGGTATGGAATCGGCGAAAACAGGAGACCACGAGCCAACATATATCAACTATTTCCGAGACGGATATTTTCCTCCCCACAGGGACAACAGTTTTGATCGAATAAGAAGAATCAAGAATCAATGCCCGAAGGTGCCCAGGCGATCTCGGGAGAAAGACCATTTCCATCGAGTAAGCTGATAAAGCGATAAGGCGGGAATCGCCCGCGGATTTCAACGTCGGAGACATCGGCGGTGCCCGACGGTCCCCTCACGGCCGGTTCCTCTCTGCTTTGGTTAATGCAAGATCGATATTCCTCAGTATACTGGTATCCAGACACAGAGAAAGCAGAGGGGAATATCGTCTTCCAGTATGGCGTATGGCAAGTGTGACTGCCGTTCTGCATCTACCACCGTGTCTGGACCGGTTGACTGGTAATATCCAGATGTCCTGGAATAATGGCTCGGCAGTGGACCAGTGGATATTCCCTTGATGTCCCTGGATCTCCCTTTTGCTGGAAGTGAAATCTCGTCTACCCCAACGTGGGACCCCGAACTCTTTTTTTTTTTTCTTTGGTGGCGTATTTATATCTCCCCCAATCCCCTTATCTTTGGGCTTTTGCCCCTCTTATCTTCTTTGTCTTATCTGCACAGCTTTCTTAAATCTTTATATTTCATTGGGTTTCAAGTCTGAAGTATAGAATACACAAGAGTCATGGCAACTAACCTCCCCTCCATTGCCGTTGTCGCTTCATCACGCGCCGTTATCTCCGGCCGTTTGACCTCTGCCACTGTGGTGATCTCACGGACAACCGGTAAAATCACCGCTATCTTTGATTCCGTGATTCCAGCATCGGAGTTCCCCGTCGATACTCCTTATACCGACTATTCCCCCATGTTTTACTGCCCGGCCTGGTTGATGCGCACGTTCATCTGAACGAGCCCGGCCGCACAGAATGGGAGGGCTTCTACACAGGCACTCAAGCCGCTGCCTTTGGTGGTGTGACTACCGTCATTGATATGCCTCTTAATGCTATCCCGCCCACTACCACCGTGAACGGGCTGAAAGAGAAGATCCAGGCTGCACAGGGCAAGTGCTGGGTTGATGTCGGTTTCTATGGCGGTATCATTCCCGGCAATGCAGGCGAGCTCAAGGCTCTTGTCCAAGAGGGTGTCCGCGGCTTCAAGGGTTTCCTGATTGACAGTGGTGTAAGTGAATGATATCAGCGTCGTGAGTTTTCGAATCAGTGTTAATACCGTTTTAATAGGTGGATGAGTTCCCCGCCGTCGGCAGAGAGGATATCAAAAAGGTCATGGCCGAGCTGGCCGATGAGCCAACAACTCTCATGTTCCACGCCGAGATGGAGCCACCCATTACTGAATCTGTGGGTGACGAAGTTCAGACTTCTGATGCGCCTGCAGACCCCGTTGGCCCTCTTGAGGCGTACGCAACTTTCCTGGCCTCGAGACCCTCCTCATTCGAGACCTGCGCCATCGAAAGTATTCTATCTTTGGCTCATCTTGCTCCCAATCTGCCTCTGCACATCGTCCACCTCTCTGCAATGGAAGCCATCCCCTTGTTGCGGGAAGCCCGCGCCAATGGTGTCAAGATCACCGCCGAAACCTGCTTCCACTATCTCTCCCTAGCAGCCGAGGAAGTACGCGACGGCGACACCCGCCACAAGTGCTGCCCGCCTATCCGCTCCAAGCTGAACCAAGATAGCCTGTGGGAAGAGCTGGAGAAACACACCGACGACGGCGTCATCAAGACCGTCGTCTCTGACCACTCGCCCTGCACACCAGACCTGAAGATGCTCCCAGGCCATATCCCCGGTCACTGTACCAGTGGCAAGGAAGAGGAGAGCGGTAACTTCTTCTCTGCCTGGGGCGGCATTTCTTCCGTTGGACTGGGTCTGCCCATCTTCTGGACAGACCTCAGCCGTCGCAAAGGCCTGACCTCTTCGCCAGAAGACGAGAACACCAAGAACGCCCTCCAGGACATCGTCCGTCTCTGCTGTGCCAACACTGCTGCCCAAGTTGGCTTGCAGTCGCACAAGGGTGACCTGGTTGTCGGCTTTGATGCTGATATTTGTGTTTTCGATGACTCTGCCGAATGGACCGTCGAGCCGAGTACCATGCTCTTCCGCAACAAATGCTCCCCGTACCAGGGCCGTACTCTGCGCGGCATGGTCCGCGAGACCTGGTTGCGTGGTGAGCGAATCTTCAGCCGTGACCAGGGCTTCGATAGTCAGTCGCCGCATGGCAAGCTGCTTCTTGAGAAACGGGTTTGAAACATTTCCCGCTTAGTTCTTCTTTTTTCTTTTACCCACAATTGGGACAAGTTGACATCTCGGCAGTTCGCCTTGCTCCTTTCTGGATACTTCTGCCACTTTACATCTCGATCTCGACCTGTGAGATCGAACCCTCTTGACGAGCACTAATGATCACGCAGCATCTATAACCCGTTAGATTAATGACAGCGCATTGTAGCTTTAGGGATAGAATACCGAAGGCAATCAAATGAATCCATTCAAGTCTTAAAAATACATGTAGAGTCATTATTATTAAATATATTGAAATACTATACAAATCCATATCAAAGACTCTTAACATCCTCCCCATCCCTCCCCTTCTCCCACTTCTCCCTAACCCTCCTCCTGACACCCCCATTAACCCCTTTCCCCCAGATCTCTTCCTTCTCCGCCCCAACCTCGACACCCTCATCCACACCCTTATCCTCCTCCCCAACAGCCCCAATAACAACCTTCCTTTCCCTAACCCCCCTCTCCTTAACTCTCGCCCGATCCACCTTCCCAATATACGTCCAATACAAAAACGACTCCGCAACAGCAACACTCAGCGCCGAAAACAGCCCAAGAAGAACCTTAGCCGCCTCATTTGACAGGATCTGCGGCGTCGGGAACCGAGTGAGCGCCGCGTACACGCCGAACCCGGTCACAAGCACCGAGATGAAGACGCTAGAAACAAGCGATACCGTCAGCGTGTCCTCTTCTATTCGGCCGTCGCTTGTGTAGGGTGACGTGTGTGGATCCGCGTGGTCGGCGTTTGGTTGATAGTTTGGGTTTAAAAGGCGGTTGTAGGATTCTTGTTCTGTTGCGGCGAGGAGGCGGGCTTTTGAGGCGAGATATTCGGCGCTCTGGGTTGTGTTTGAAATGTTAGGATCTGGTTTGGTGTGGTTTCTATGCATTCAAGGAAAGGAAAGGAAGGGAAAGAAAGGGCAGGGATGATAGGGTTGTGTATAGACCACGTACGGGCTCTGGCTTCTTTGGCGGCGGAGGAACGTAGACTTTCGTTCCGCGGAGGAGGGAGCTGAGGACTGTTGGGGTATGAGAGACATGCTCTTTGTACTCTGGGTCTGTTTGAAGGTATCTGGCAAGTCGGATCAGTTGCTCGTGGGCTATTGGGCCTTGTGCTTCGAGTGTGGTAGGCAGATTTAGCTCCTCGTGGCGCGAAGCCGGAATAGCCTCGAACGCGGCGAGGATGCGATCCGTCGTAAGAAGAAGGACCATTCTGATACCAATCCCACGAAATTAGGGGAATCAAGTCGAATGCGTTGAGGTTTAGTTCATCGCAGGGGAGAGATAAAGCGGAACCCCCAAAAAGTGGGCAGTTAAGCTCCTCCTCCCCACATCGTCATATCTTCATCTCATTCTCTCATTCTCTCTCACACACATCTTTGCGACCATGGCGGACTCAAAGAAGAGGTAAATTCCAATTCCCATTCTATATATCTTTACAGAAATCGCATTCGATCTTCAATCCCCCCAACCTCAATCCCATGCCATCCACAGAAACAAGGAAACTGACCCCTCCACCCAGCACGGTAACAACACAAACCAACCCGCGCGGGATCCCCGTCGCACCCTTCATCGACAATGTCAGCGACTACGTCTCCTCCCGCGAGGAAGTCGAGCCTACCCTGCGCTCCTTCCAGGAGATGATCTCCAAGTACCAGTTCATGGAGGTGAACACCCAGCGCCGCGGCCAAGGTCTGCGGGAGAAGATCCCCGATATCAGGAAGACGCTGGAGATGGTGCGGTTCCTGCAGCTGCGCACGGAGGTAAATGTCCCTCCCCCTCGCATCCGTGACCCCATTCATAAAACGCAATTCGGAGAGAAAAAGTGCTTCGTGAAGCGTCGGTCCATTGGAGAAAAAAAAGAACGAAACTGAAACTATAATCGGGAATATCAATTCACTAATACAATGATCTTGTCTAGTCCAACCCTGACTCAGACCTCGAGACTAACTTCGAACTCAATGATACCCTTTACGCCCGGGCTGCGATCTCCCCTGCCGATGCCGAAGAGGTCTACCTCTGGCTCGGGGCGAATGTCATGTTGGCGTACCCGCTCGGCGAGGCGGAGACCATGCTGGATGAGAAGCTCAATGCTGCGGAGTCGAGCTTGCAGAATTGCGAGGAGGATCTGGAATTCTTGCGCGAGCAGATTACGGTAAGTTCATTCGGTCTGCGAGAGGCATATATTGGCGTTTTTTGTTTTTGCTAACGCTAACTCTTTGCAGACATTGGAGGTTGCCACGGCGCGTGTGTACAACTGGGATGTTGTAGAAAGGCGTAAAGATAAGGCCGATGGCAAGGGTGAAGAGGAAACGAAAAAATAAGAACCGCCCTGGTGGCTGAATGTTTCTGAAGGGATTTACTGGATATTATAAAAATGTTGCCAATGTCATCGATTATGAATGGTCTATTATCTTCCAGGTTAAATGTCAAGGGAAAAAAGAAATCAAGGAAATCATAACGCATAGAGAAACATTGAAATGAAGTAGTGGATATTAGAAGAATACGCTCTAAACCAAAGGCCCCTATGCATATAAAACGAAAGAAAAGAGACGCATGTCATGATTCGTCAACAACCTTGGAAGGCAAGAGAAAATCGCAAAAAGAAACCAAAAAAGGAAGAAAATAGAACTCGCAAAATCCCAATCTTCGTGAAGCCCAAGGACGCTACCTTCACTATGAACATCTCCCAGTCCAATGCGCCTGTTCAGCAGGTTATTGTTGTCCAGTGACAGGGCGGGGATCTGAGGATGGCGAAGATCTCGACAGAGCGCTGGGATATCGCCAAAAAAAAAAACAAAATGCCGATCGATCAACCTGGGAGAACAAAATCATTGGAACATGTTGGAACCTAGCCTGTCGGAATCTGAAGCAGCTCGCTCACGCATCCGCTTCGAGATGTCGAAGCCGGTTTCATCACCGACAAAGGTCCACTCTTCAATATCATCAAGGTCGTCATCGCCTCCATCTGGAGAGGCCTTAGCTGTAGGTGTAGGAGAGAATGGGGTGGACGAGGCAAGCGACTTCTGTCGGGCCAAGGTCTTAGCGTATTCAAGATCGCGATAGAGGGCCTGGATTGCAGTGGCCACACCGTCTTCCTAAACAGGGAATATCAAATTAGCACTCCATCATCCACTTAGCTTAAATAGTCTTGGAACAACTCACATTGCGAATCTGAATGCCCAAATTCCGTGCCTTGACAATCATGCGTTCACTGTGCGTCGCTTCCCAAATAGCCCGCGAGAAGACACTGACGTTCAGTTTCTTCATGCAGATGCCAACGCCTAGATCCTCCACCCGGGAGCCGAAGAAGAATTGGTCTCCGAAGAATGGCTTGACGATGGTGGGGACACCGGCTCGAAGACTTGCGCCGGTGGTTCCTGCTCCGCCGTGGTGGGCTGCAGCATCGATCTGAGAGAAAAGCCAGTCGTGGGGTGCAGATTGGATTTGATGAATCTCTGGTGGTAGAGGTATCTCAGTCTTCGTGCTAGATGGGTCACCAAGCCTATCGGACCAGCCCTTTGAGAGGATGCATCGGACGTCTGCTTTCTGGACCGATTCGATGACAGTCCGTGTCAGGGCAGCAGGATCCGAGACCACAATGGATCCGAACCCGATGTACACGAGCTTCTTGCCATCCGCTCTGGCCTGCGTAATGAAGTTTGATAGTTCATCTGGGGGAGTCCAATCGGTGCCCTCATTCAAAAACCAATATCCGGTAATGCGAATCCAATCCGGGTAATCGAGAGGCGGGGCCACCACGGAGGGCGAGTAATTGTAAAGGAACGGGACTTTGTTTTGCTGCATCTTGTCCAAAGTTGTGGCCTTCAATCCCAGCTCGTTGTTTCGCCAGCGGTTCACTTGCCCTGCGATGGCCTTCCAAAAGATGTTGTCAAACATGACGTATGTGATGTAGTTGTATGCTCCACCCATGCGATTCTCCGGCACCGCGAAAGCATGAGGATAGGCCCGTGTTCTTGTCCATGGCATAGTGAACCCGCGGAAGTACGGAATCCTTAATGCTTCTGCAATGTGGACTCCAGCCATGGCGCTCGGTGACTCGATTAGAAGGTCACTGCCCTGACAACCAATCCAAGCCGACGACAAAAGATCATCGATCCATCCTCTGAATTTCAACGAAGCCTCCCTGAGGAAGGAATATGTGAACATCCCGTTCTCCACGCAGATTCGCATTAGCTCCGCGGGATCACCATCAACGGGAGCAAACTCGATCCCGTGTTTTCTGATCCAGGGTTCGAACTCGGCATGGGTTGCAATCTTCGGTTTGTGACCCTCGGCAAGCAGTCCTTTGCAAAGCGCAATGTACGGCTGTACATCGCCCCGGGAGCCGATGGTCAGACAAGTAATCCTTAGAGGCTCGGGAGGTTTGAAGTTGATAATGGAAGCGCGAGGATCGTCAAAGAACGGATGTATCTCCATTGAATCCTCTGTGAAACTCGGACATGCATCGTGTTCCTCAGGGCGGTCCAGCCTTGCTTCCTGGAGCATGCGGTGCTCAGCCTTGGCTGCTTCAACCTCATCTCGCTCTTCATCTGCTAGCAGGCCAGATTCCACTAGGAATTTCACGGAATCCAGATTTTGATGCAGTGTGACGGCACAGTCATCTCGTGAATCTGAGGCATTGAACTCAAAGAAAAGTTCTTCATGACCACGGATAATGACAACGAGTCCATGGTATCCAAAGCGGAAGCCTTTCTCTTTTTCAACGTTCTCAATGTCCTTCAACGGTAAAATCATTTTGGTCCGAGTACCAGGGATAAGGCTGCGGAAACAAAGTTTCTTCTGACTTATATAGATCTTGCCGTAGAGCGGGAGCACACGATGCAAGTAAGCGTAATAAGTCGCCTGCAGCTTTTCGCTAGATGGGAGAGCAAAGTGTGCACGAAAGCGATCCCCATAATTGAATGAACCTTCGTTGTCCTCGGGGTCAACGTTCTGGTCTTCGAGCAATGGCCCTTCCCGCTCTCCATAATGCTTCTGTCCACCAATCCACATGCCAGAGACCTTTTCTATATAGCCCATTGACTCTGTTGCTAACAGTGTACTCATCTGCTTCGAGCGGCTTTTCAAGTATTCAGCAAAACCAGCGGCGCGTTGAAGGGGATATGTGCCTGCTTTGACAAGTTCGTTCAGATGAGTAACCGAGCTCGGTCTTGAAGATTGCATTGGATTAGAATGGCCGGTGGCATATCGTGTGCCGTCTGTGGTTTCATTGCCACCCAGTGTTCCAGATGGAGAGCCTGCCGCTGCATCTACGTCCAGCCGCGCAGATGCAGAGGGAGTTGTATCATCGGAATGTCGTTGAACGGTTTCTCCCACATCCAATGTGCGTCTTTGCAGTGTGTGCATAGTGGGCGATTGAAAGACGTCGCTTCTGTGCAGTATTTGACTGGCCGATTCAGTGGTGTCTGTCATCGACTGTATAATCGGCGACGATCCGGTCCCTTGCTCCGCAAATGAGTCGGCCGAGCCTTGGTTTTCATTCCCTACACTGGAGCTTCGCTTGCGTGGTGAATCTCCTTGCCTCTGATCGGATATTCGAACGCTGCTGACCGACTGTCTTTTATGGGCAGTACGACTTGATTCGGGTTGATGTCGGATGTCGTGTTCACCCGGTGACTCTTTTGTTGCGGTAGTAGCCGATGCAGCATTGACTAGGCCTTTGATGTAGTTTAACGCGTCCTGGCCCGAATCAAAGAACGAGAAGAAGTACTGTGGAGTGATCAGCAATGAACATAGTAACGTTCGTCCCACGACCTACCTCGTCAATTGCATATGTTTCGCCGCTGTCGAGAACTCGAATTTTGAAGGTCTCCGCAAAATCGGCCATTGGGCTCTCCTCCAGGTCAATAACATTCGCTATTGGGAATGATACCTTCACACTATCGCCTTCATTATGTGTCCGAAAGATGACTTTCTGGAGAGCTTTCACCCATTCCTTTGCACTGGTAGCACTGTCTGCTCTGAACAAATACGTCCGCTGGTCAGTGGTGACCTGAAAGTCTTTCGCATCGCCGTCTTTACGTTCAGCGAGAGACGCAGAGATCCCATATCGAAGATCAACATGTCCGCTAGGAAAATAGAGATTGGAGGGGTCTACATAGTATGAGAGGACATCACCCTTCAGAGCAAACCAATAGCGGTGATACGTGGGATTCTTGCGGCCACGTTTGGATAGGTACCCCGACTTT